GAATAATTGAACTTTTAGTTCATTTTCGTCTTGCAGCTCCAGTTCAAACCGAGCTTAGCAGATTCAAGCAATATTTTCTTCCAGCAGTGCTACCAGGATACACAGGTGACCCTAATGAAGTACGACCTGGTTATAAGCTAAGAGCCTCACCTGTACACATTACATTCTCCACTGGGTATGTACCTCCTGGCTTCTTCACTCGTTTAGCAACTACTGTGGTTACAAATGACAATGTTAAGCTCAATTTTGATATTTATAGTGTATCACCTGTTGGTTTTTTTGGTCCATTAGCTATTTCCATGAAGCTATGTCCTAAAGTTGAGACAAAAAGCATCTATCGTAATCGTGTTTGCTTCTCTTATGGTCTTCCTTCTGATGATTTTGTTCTTACCGATGTTAATGAAGCTATTCAAGTTAATGTGTTTCGTTATGTACCCGAGAGTAGTCATCCTGTTCCTTTCAAAACAGTTTGTCAAGAAATTTTAAAATTGATTAAGAAATGCTGTCAGCAAGTAGAAGACACACTTTATGGTTACCATGAGCATCATATTACTCAGTCATCATCAAGAGATGTTCACTATGTTTGTGAGTGCAAGTCTTCCAGTTCCAATGAGGTTCATTACATTAAAGTTAATGTTAAGAAGCAAACCTGCTCTGATCCTGTTCATTGTGACAAAGTTAGAAGTACTCGTTCCCTCACTCAAAGAGAATCAATGTGGTTTGAAGGAGACTTTAAAGATAAACTGACCTTTTTAAAATGTAAATTATATTACATGTACAATATCATCTTTTCTCTTATTATGCAGATCTTTTTTCTGGAGTTTGTCTTTTTTCTTTGGTTATTTCATTGATACTTATTGAGTTTTTGTTCACTGGTCTAGTTAATATTAATTCAACTACAGCAGATAAAGCAAGTAAGTTTTATCATTAAAGTCACTATTTTGCATGGACATTTACTAAGTAGCTGCTTATCCATGCATTAAAATATTATTTTCACTCTTCCTTCAGATATCTTGACAATTAGTGACTTGCAAAAAGTATTAGATGTATTGGATGATGGGTACTTTCCTAGTAACAAGTGGTTGAATCTTGGATTGTCCTTGGGCCTGCTGAATCCAAAGTTAGATACGATTGAACACAATTATCCAAAGGACAGCGAAAGATGCCTTCAAAAATGTCTGACATTATGGTTGACAGAGGACATTGAAGCAACATGGAGCAAATTAGCTGATGCTGTTGATAACACTGGAGAAAAAGCTGTTGCAGCTTATATAAGTACTTATAAATAAAATTATTGCTATTATGACTGTGATCATTGAGTTAGGGTCAGTCAAAGTAAAGAGCAAAAAAGAACTGTAACAACTTCTGCAAATTATGTAGTACTCTGTAACAATGCATATTAATTTCATACACATACAATTAATATTGTAGCACTTGAATTACACATGATTATTTGTGCTATTTATATTTTTGTAATTAGTTGTTGCCAGCTGGATAACTATGATACCATTGCATGCATTGGTAGTTGGTACAGTGACATCACTTGTTCTGGTCTATCCTAGCTCCCAGTCACCATACTCCAGTGGTGCAGTGCTTTGCAGGCTGGTTGACCCTGCAAACTCATTAGTCATGTGACTCTCACTATACTAGTAATATACATGTCACGTGCATGACC